TTTCCACATGGTTCACAAGAAAAGGGTTTCTTATCACTATGGACTCTTTTATGGGCCTTGAATACTGATTCATGAGGGAATCTTTTCCCACAGGTGTTGCATACATATGGTTGATCAACTCTGTGGGTTCTTCTCATGTGGCACAACAAGCTTTTTCTATGTTGAAAGTATTTCCCACAATCTCTGCACAAAAATCGCTTCTCACTCGGAGGAGCTGGTTCCTTGTTTGATGTTAAACTAAGTTTTACTCCTTTCTGATCTCGGCCATCAGATTCATGAGGATTGTGAGAGAGAAGCTGGTGGTCATTGTTTAGTTCAACTACAGCGGTGCTTTCAACTGAAATGTATTCTAGAGATGTTTCCTGTACCACACTCTCAGTTTCATCAGTACACGAGTCCAGAAGTTGATCTTCACCGTGGCCTCTTTCCTCACAAGTAGGAGTCAACGTAAAGGCCTCCTGCTTCGGTTCAAGCTGCTCTCCCTCTGGACTGGTGCAGAGTTCCTCCTGTTCCTCTTTAATCTCTGGAGGATCTGGGTCCTCTTGGTCCAGACTGGGCTTCCTCTCCTGGAGACAGAGCTGCTGGTCAGAGAGAAGCTCCTCCTCCTTACAGACACGTGACTGTGGGAGCTCTGGAGGGACAAAAGGAATAGAAGACAAACGTTTGAGCGTATCAATACAACGAGTGTTTATAAACCATAAACATCACGTGTCCTACTGTTCTATTAGTAAGTTAAAGAACACGTTGGTTTGAAAAAACGTGAATAATGTCTCATCTTTATTGCTTTAGACCAGCGATTCCCAAAGCGTGGGCCGCGGCCCCCTGGTGGGCCACCAAGGTACTGCAGGTGGGCCGCGAGAGGTCGTTTACAATAAATAAATAAAAAGGTTTTAATTTTCAATTTTGAAAAGTTTGAAATGAATATAAAAATATGTATGATGCGGCACATTAGTTATGTGAAAAATTAATTGATGAAGCAAAAACAATTTAAACGAACAGATTGGTTAATGGTTGATCCATACTGGTTGTACACGGCGCGCAAGGCGCTCTGCCAAACATGCTAAAGCTCGTCTGACGGCGAGACGCTGAGCGGCGCTCAAGCGCGTGAGATTCGGAGCTTGTTTCAGGGCGCGTCGGAGAAACAAAGCTGTCGTTCTTGACGAGCACATAATGAGATTAAAGAGCGAGAGACGGTGCCCTTTTCATTACAGTAGCTGAACCATCTTAACGGGGAAATAAGGTATTCTAAAAGGAGCCCTTGGTAGGCGGCGTGGCTGGAGAGCAGCCGGAGATTTAAGTCGTGGATGGCGAGGGGGGCGGCGGGAGCGGACGCATCTCGCAGTATCGATCGGACCCTGAAAACACCGACACATCCCACATCCCCCATCGCCAAACGTTTGACTGCTACGGCGGCAAATCACCAGCCGGTCTGCGAGCTGGACGCATTGGTCTTAATGTGCCGGTAATGATGGTAAATGATGGTTGTAGCTGGTTGTCATCTTCCAGTCCACTACGGTTACATAAAGGTGTCGTTTGTGTTTTGACAACGTTGTATCTCATAATTTCGACTTTCTATCCCCTTTCTTCAGTGCGGAAATGGGCTTCTATAGTTGTGTGAATGCATCGCTCCGGCCAATCCAAAGACGGGGTTTGTAACTAATCAGGTGTACAAACCATGTGACTGGCTCCGCCCCCTCACTGTCAGAACGAACACCGAGCGCGTAGAAAACTCCTTCGAGCGCGAGCAGAGATTCTCCTCCCTCGGGCAACGAAGTTCACGTCTCGCAAGCGAGCAAATACTAGTGATGGCAAAGTGAAGCTTTCCAGCCAATTGTATCGTGAAAAGGTTCATTCATTCAATGCATCGCAAACTCTATGATGACCTCTGCTGTTGAAAACCCATAGTGCATGTTTCGCATAGCCTACCAGTATATTTTGGCCCAGTCTCTGTGGGTTGAACATGATTATGAAAAGTTGAACCAATAAATCATCTAATAAATACATGGATTCCTATATGAATAAAACTATTGTTTTTTAGGTTTGAATTGTGTCCTTGTTTGTGTATTTCAATTCTCTGTACATTGGCAAGAAGTGGAACAAACATACTAGGAGAATAATGAATAGAAATATATATATATATATGTAGGTAATATAATTTAAAACACCAGCAAGTGCTTCCTACTGCATGTGCAGTTCATGGCAGTCATAGGGACTTAGGTGAATTGTTTGAATGTGGAATGTGGGAAGTGATTTATAGAGGAAAGGTCAGTTTTTAAGGGGCAGTGATTGTGCTTTTGGACAGGTTTTTTATGACAGGATATTGAGGTGCTTGTGGACACATGGGATGGGGCATTGTTATTGATTTTTTATTGAGAAACTATTTTCTTCACAGTATTGGGGTGGAGTTGGTTTCTTAGATACCGTTTCCCCAGCTTTAGAAAAAAGGCGCTCACGCGGCACGATGAGGCAGGAATGCTCATAAGATTACGTGCTAATACAAATAGATGTGGGTACACATGTTTGTGTTTGACCCAATATTTTAGCGGGTCTTCACTCCGTGGAATGTTTGGCTCAGCCAAATATCGGGTGGTCTCCACAATAAAAATAAAAATCCATAATTACACAGTATAAATGACAGACTTTGCCTGCCTATTGCTAACCGTGTCAGAGGAAATCAAATTGAAGTGCTCCCACATCTCGGAGCGACCTCTCTTTGCCACAGGTTCCATTGTAAATTTGCTCTTTGCTACGACTACTACAACAACACTGACTGTATCAAACCGACACGCCCGAACCCTGTTTCCAGCCCATTGAATCAAATCGAAGCGGTCACGTGACTGTGCGCCGGAACGAAGCTTCGGACGTCACTGATCACGTGATCAGCAGCGAACGAACCGAGCACCGATACGTTCGCCTTGCACTGGTTCATATTTCGACACAAGCGTCGAAGCAGGAGGGTCGGAGGGAACAAGACTAGCAAATACCTCGCACGAGACGGACTTTTGCTGGCGGATGTTTGATTTACGCGCGCGCATCAACCTGATTTGCGCTCTCGAATTTTGACAGTATCTGATAGACTGCAGTATCTTATGCACCTTATTGTGCGGAAAACACGGCCCATGAGCTCCGGAGAAAATGGTATACAAAACATACATTGTCGGTTAATACATTTTGAATCAAAATTAAATTCATATGGTCATTTAATCATCCCTAGTTTATGTTTCGATCAGAGTTGTGATTAAAGGTTTCGGTGGGCCGCAAAAGATTTTCAGATATTAAAGTGGGCCGCGGAATTCTTGAGTTTAGGAACAGCTGCTTTAGACAAATGAGTTTTTTTAACAAAGTTGTACTCACCTATCCTGTGTAACCTCACTTCGGGTTTCCAAAACACATCCAACAGTCTGCGCTGCCGGTCGATCTCTTCCTGGTACTCGACGACGGTTCTTTTAAAAACTCCGAATATTTCTTCAGCAGCAGCAGATAGTCGCTCGTTGACAAACTCTCTCAAATTCTCAACTGAAGACATTGTTGCTTAATTACAAGCCGTAGTTAGTTAAATGAATTATCTGCACTGCCACAAGACAAAGCAACGGCTGGGTGTCACACTTTAAAGTTCCGACTGCAGACCTCAGTCACATTAAGGTTCCGCTTCTTACTATGATCGCCGGTCAGCTGCCTTTTTCTTCCTCTATTAATTGGATTAGCGGGTCGCAAACAACTTGAATAGATGCATACCGCCACCTACTGTACAGAAGTGTGGACTTTGAGTGTTAAATCAACATCGTTAGCTGGTAATTGTTGTGTTCTTCCAAGGAGAAAGATTTCCCCACATTGCATTGGGACCACACTGTAACGCCTTTAAACCGCATTCTTTGGCTGCTGTACTGATAGTCCAACCAAACCCTTTGCCTTTACTTTGGATGTACTCCCAGCATTCATACAGCACCTTTGTTGCTGGAAGTTCCTCTCCAGAACTCTGCAGCTTCACCCAACATGCCAGAGCTCAGGCAGGACGAAATCATGAGCGAACATCACTTGAAGCTTTATCAGTTTTATTGCAGGACATTTTCTCAGATTGACGTTAATGATGTGTGTAGATATATATATGTGTGTATATATATGTGTGTGTGTATATATATATATATATATGTATGTATATATATGTATATATATATGTATATATATATGTATGTGTATATATATATATATATACATATATATGTATACATATACATATATATGTATGTATGTATATATATATATGTATATGTATGTATTTATATACATATATATATGTATATATATATACATATATATGTATATGTATACATATATATACACATACATATATATATATACATATATATACACATACATATATATATATATAATGATTAGATTCAACTTTATTGTCATTGCAGAGTACAAGTACTGAGGCAACGAAATGCAGTTTAGCATCCAACCAGAAGTGCAAAAAAGCAAAAAGTGCAGAGTATGTGCATATGTAAAGTGTAATAAGTAAATAGATATGTACAGTAAGAAATATATATTAAATACATTATATATATATGTTAATACATTATATATGTGTATTCATATATGTATAATTAATGTCAATCTGTATAAAAACAAAACCATGTTAAACATTTGGAGGATATGTTCACTTAATCTTAAAATTTGGGGGATTACGGTAAAGTAACTTAATTTGGAAGTATTCATGAGATTGAGCGCTCATCCAGTCGGGTTTCGGCTGGATGGTTATGCCTGTCAGAAGAGATTACTGAAAAGATGTTTCTTTCAAATGCAGCATTTGTGTTGTGTCCTTATAGAAAGCTTCAAAGCCTTTTCAATCTTAAAAATTGCTCAGACTATTTCCTCACAGGAGTTGCATCTAGGACGTTTCACCCTTCTTCTCATGTGGACAATTAGACAGTTCAAAGAAACAAGAAACCGCTTTTTTGATGTGCACACATGACATAATGATGTAAAGATTGAACAGGTAGTTTTGATCATTTAAATTTTAATCTGAGAAATGTAATAAAGCAACTGAGAAAAACTAAGTTACTAGAATTTTTGAAACCTCTTTCATATATTTTTTACAGGAATATGACGTCTCCCCATTTCGAATTCTTATGAGACTCCAAATGTTCTTTGTGAGTGAATGGATTGCAAGAATAGGGCCTTTCCCCAGTGTGGATTCTTGTATGAACTTCAGTAGTGATTTCAGGAATATGGCTTCTCCCCAGTGTGGATTCTTACGTGACGCTTTAAACGTGCTGTCCGAGAGAATGTTTTCCCGCAGGTGATGCAGGAATATGGCCTCTCCCCACTATGAATTCTTATATGAGACTTCAAATTTGATGACCGAGTGAATTTTTTCCCACAGGTGGTGCAGGAATGTGGCTTCTCCCCACTATGGGTTCTTACATGAGACTTCAAATTTGATGACTGAGTGAATGTTTTCCCACAGGTGGTGCAGGAATACGGCCTTTCCCCATTGTGAACTTTCATGTGGGCTTTTAAGCTATAACTACATTTGAAATATTTTCCACATGTTTTGCAAGAAAAGGGTTTCTCTTCACTGTGGACTATTTTATGGGCCTTGAGTACTGATTCATAAGAGAATCTTTTCCCACAGGTGTTGCAAGAATACGGCCTTTCCCCTGTGTGGGTTGATGTATGACACTTCAATTGTGATTTCTGAGTGAATGTTTTCCCACAGGTGATGCAGGAAAATGGCTTCTCCCCACTATGAAGTCTTATATGAGCCTTTAAATGTGATGGCCGAGAGAACGTTTTCCCACAGGTGGTGCAGGAATACGGCCTTTCCCCATTGTGAACTTTCATGTGGGCTTTTAAATCACTATTATATCTGAATTCTTTTCCACATAGTTCACAAGAAAAGGGTTTCTCATCACTATGGACTCTTTTATGGGCCTTGAGTACGGATTCATGAGGGAATCTTTTCCCACAGGTGTTGCATACATATGGTTCATCAACTCTGTGGGTTCTTCTCACGTGGCCCAACAAGCTATTTTTAAGTTGAAAGTATTTCCCACAATCTCGCAAAAACGGCTTCTCATCCAAAGGAGCTGGTTCCTTGTTTGATGTTAAACTAAGTTTTACTCCTTTCTGATCTCGGCCATCAGATTCATGAGGATTGTGAGAGAGAAGCTGGTGGTCATTGTTTAGTTCAACTACAGCGGTGCTTTCAACAGAAATGTATTCTAGAGATGTTTCCTGTACCACACTCTCAGTTTCATCAGTACACGAGTCCAGAAGTTGATCTTCACCGTGGCCTCTTTCCTCACAAGTAGGAGTCAACGTAAAGGCCTCCTGCTTCGGTTCAAGCTGCTCTCCCTCTGGACTGGTGCAGAGTTCCTCCTGTTCCTCTTTAATCTCTGGAGGATCTGGGTCCTCTTGGTCCAGACTGGGCTTCCTCTCCTGGAGACAGAGCTGCTGCTCAGAGAGAAGCTCCTCCTCCTTACAGACACGTGACTGTGGGAGCTCTGGAGGGACAAAAGGAATAGAAGACAAACGTTTGAGCGTATAAATACAACGAGTGTTTATAAACCATAAACATCACGTGTCCTACTGTTCTATTAGTAAGTTAAAGAACACGTTGGTTTGAAAAAACGTGAATAATGTCTCATCTTTATTGCTTTAGACCAGCGATTCCCAAAGCGTGGGCCGCGGCCCCCTGGTGGGCCACCAAGGTACTGCAGGTGGGCCGCGAGAGGTCGTTTACAATAAATAAATAAAAAGGTTTTAATTTTCAATTTTGAAAAGTTTGAAATTAATATAAAAATATGTATGATGCGGCACATTAGTTATGTGAAAAATTAATTGATGAAGCAAAAACAATTTAAACGAACAGATTGGTTAATGGTTGATCCATACTGGTTGTACACGGCGCGCAAGGCGCTCTGCCAAACATGCTAAAGCTCGTCTGACGGCGAGACGCTGAGCGGCGCTCAAGCGCGTGAGATATGGAGCTTGTTTCAGGGCGCGTCGGAGAAACAAAGCTGTCGTTCTTGACGAGCACATAATGAGATTAAAGAGCGAGAGACGGTGCCCTTTTCATTACAGTAGCTGAACCATCTTAACGGGGAAATAAGGTATTCTAAAAGGAGCCCTTGGTAGGCGGCGTGGCTGGAGAGCAGCCGGAGATTTAAGTCGTGGATGGCGAGGGGGGCGGCGGGAGCGGACGCATCTCGCAGTATCGATCGGACCCTGAAAACACCGACACATCCCACATCCCCCATCGCCAAACGTTTGACTGCTACGGCGGCAAATCACCAGCCGGTCTGCGAGCCGGACGCATTGGTCTTAATGTGCCGGTAATGATGGTAAATGATGGTTGTAGCTGGTTGTCATCTTCCAGTCCACTACGGTTACATAAAGGTGTCGTTTGTGTTTTGACAACGTTGTATCTCATAATTTCGACTTTCTATCCCCTTTCTTCAGTGCGGAAATGGGCTTCTATAGTTGTGTGAATGCATCGCTCCGGCCAATCCAAAGACGGGGTTTGTAACTAATCAGGTGTACAGACCATGTGACTGGCTCCGCCCCCTCACTGTCAGAACGAACACCGAGCGCGTAGAAAACTCCTTCGAGCGCGAGCAGAGATTCTCCTCCCTCGAGCAACGAAGTTCACGTCTCGCAAGCGAGCAAATACTAGTGATGGCAAAGTGAAGCTTTCCAGCCAATTGTATCGGGAAAAGGTTCATTCATTCAATGCATCGCAAACTCTATGATGACCTCTGCTGTTGAAAACCCATAGTGCATGTTTCGCATAGCCTACCAGTATATTTTGGCCCAGTCTCTGTGGGTTGAACATGATTATGAAAAGTTGAACCAATAAATCATCTAATAAATACATGGATTCCTATATGAATAAAACTATTGTTTTTTAGGTTTGAATTGTGTCCTTGTTTGTGTATTTCAATTCTCTGTACATTGGCAAGAAGTGGAACAAACATACTAGGAGAATAATTAATAGAAATTATATATATATATATATATATCCATCCATCCATCCATCCATCCATTGTCAAACCGCTTATCCTGCACACAGGGTCGCGGGGGGGCTGGAGTCCATCCCAGCCAACTTCGGGCGATAGACAGGGTACACCCTGGATTGGTCGCCAGCCAATCGCAGGGCAACACAGAGACACACAACCATTCACACAACTACGGGCAATTTAAAGTCCCCAATTAACCTAATCCCCAGAGCATGTCTTTGGACTGTGGGAGGAAGCCGGAGAACCCGGAGAGAACCCACGCAGACACGGGGAGAACATGCAGACTCCACACAGAAAGGCCACTGGAATCGAACCCAGGACCTTCTTGCTGTGAGGCAACGGTGCTAACCACCACGCCACCGTGCCGCCCTATATATCTATATATATATATATATATATATATATATAATATATATTATATATATATATTATATATATATATATATAATATATTATATATATAATATATTATATATATATATATATATATATATATATATAATATATTATATATATATTATTATATATATATATATATATATGTATATATATATATAATATATTATATATATATATATATGTATATATATATGTAATATAATTTAAAACACCAGCAAGTGCTTCCTACTGCATGTGCAGTTCATGGCAGTCATAGGGACTTAGGTGAATTGTTTGAATGTGGAAAGTGATTTATAGAGGAAAGGTCAGTTTTTAAGGGGCAGTGATTGTGCTTTTGGACAGGTTTTTTATGACAGGATATTGAGGTGCTTGTGGACACATGGGATGGGGCATTGTTATTGATTTTTTATTGAGAAACTATTTTCTTCACAGTATTGGGGTGGAGTCGGTTTCTTAGATACCGTTTCCCCAGCTTTAGAAAAAAGGCGCTCACGCGGCACGATGAGGCAGGAATGCTCATAAGATTACGTGCTAATACAAATAGATGTGGGTACACATGTTTGTGTTTGACCCAATATTTTAGCGGGTCTTCACTCCGTGGAATGTTTGGCTCAGCCAAATATCGGGTGGTCTCCACAATAAAAATAAAAATCCATAATTACACAGTATAAATGACAGACTTTGCCTGCCTATTGCTAACCGTGTCAGAGGAAATCAAATTGAAGTGCTCCCACATCTCGGAGCGACCTCTCTTTGCCACAGGTTCCATTGTAAATTTGCTCTTTGCTACGACTACTACAACAACACTGACTGTATCAAACCGACAAGCCCGAACCCTGTTTCCAGCCCATTGAATCAAATCGAAGCGGTCACGTGACTGTGCGCCGGAACGAAGCTTCGGACGTCACTGATCACGTGATCCGCAGCGAACGAACCGAGCACCGATACGTTCGCCTTGCACTGGTTCATATTTCGACACAAGCGTCGAAGCAGGAGGGTCGGAGGTAACAACACTAGCAAATACCTCGCACGAGACGGACTTTTGCTGGCGGATGTTTGATTTACGCGCGCGCATCAACCTGATTTGCGCTCTCGAATTTTGACAGTATCTGATAGACTGCAGTATCTTATGCACCTTATTGTGCGGAAAACACGGCCCATGAGCTCCGGAGAAAATGGTATACAAAACATACATTGTCGGTTAATACATTTTGAATCAAAATTAAATTCATATGGTCATTTAATCATCCCTAGTTTATGTTTCGATCAGAGTTGTGATTAAAGGTTTCGGTGGGCCGCAAAAGATTTTCAGATATTAAAGTGGGCCGCGGAATTCTTGAGTTTAGGAACAGCTGCTTTAGACAAATGAGTTTTTTTAACAAAGTTGTACTCACCTATCCTGTGTAACCTCACTTCGGGTTTCCAAAACACATCCAACAGTCTGCGCTGCCGGTCGATCTCCTCCTGGTACTCGACGACGGTTCTTTTAAAAACTCCGAATATTTCTTCAGCAGCAGCTGATAGTCGCTCGTTGACAAACTCTCTCAAATTCTCAACTGAAGACATTGTTGCTTAATTACAAGCCGTAGTTAGTTAAATGAATTATCTGCACTGCCACAAGACAAAGCAACGGCTGGGTGTCACACTTTAGAGTTCCGACTGCAGACCTCAGTCACATTAAGGTTCCGCTTCTTACTATGATCGCCGGTCAGCTGCCTTTTTCTTCCTCTATTAATTGGATTAGCGGGTCGCAAACAACTTGAATAGATGCATACCGCCACCTACTGTACAGGAGTGTGGACTTTGAGTGCTAAATCAACATTGTTAGCTGGTAATTGTTGTGTTCTTCCAAGGAGAAAGATTTCCCCACATTGCATTGGGACCACACTGTAACGCCTTTAAACCGCATTCTTTGGCTGCTGTACTGATAGTCCAACCAAACCCTTTGCCTTTACTTTGGATGTATTCCCAGCATTCATACAGCACCTTTGTTGCTGGAAGTTCCTCTCCAGAACTCTGCAGCTTCATCCAACATGCCAGAGCTCAGGCAGGACGAAATCATGAGCGAACATCACTTGAAGCTTTATCAGTTTTATTGCAGGACATTTTCTCAGATTGACGTTAATGATGTGTGTAGATATATATGTGTGTGTATATTATATATATATATATATATATATAAATATATATATATATATACATATATATATATACATTCTCTCTCTCTCTCTCTCTCTCTCTCTATATATATATACATATATATACACATACATATATATATATATATTATATATATATATTTATATATATATATAATGATTAGATTCAACTTTATTGTCATTGCAGAGTACAAGTACTGAGGCAACGAAATGCAGTTTAGCCTCCAACCAGAAGTGCAAAAAAGCAAAAAGTGCAGAGTATGTGCATATGTAAAGTGTAATAAGTAAATAGATATGTACAGTAAGAAATATATATTAAATACATTATATATATATATATATATATATATATATATATGTTAATACATTATATATGTGTATTTATATATGTATAATTAATGTCAATCTGTATAAAAACAAAACCATGTTAAACATTTGGAGGATATGTTCACTTAATCTTAAAATTTGGGGGATTACGGTAAAGTAACTTAATTTGGAAGTATTCATGAGATTGAGCGCTCATCCAGTCGGGTTTCGGCTGGATGGTTATGCCTGTCAGAAGAGATTACTGAAAAGATGTTTCTTTCAAATGCAGCATTTGTGTTGTGTCCTTATAGAAAGCTTCAAAGCCTTTTCAATCTTAAAAATTGCTCAGACTATTTCCTCACAGGAGTTGCATCTAGGACGTTTCACCCTTCTTCTCAAGTGGACAATTAGACAGTTCAAAGAAACAAGAAACCGCTTTTTTGATGTGCACACATGACATAATGATGTAAAGATTGAACACATAGTTTTGATCATTTAAATTTTAATTGAGAAATGTAATAAAGCAACTGAGAAAAACTAAGTTACTAGAATTTTTGAAACCTCTTTCATATATTTTTACAGGAATATGACGTCTCCCCATTTCAAATTCTTATGAGACTGCAAATGTGTGAGTGAATGTATTGCAAGAATAGGGCCTTTCCCCAGTGTGGATTCTTGTATGAAACTTCAGTAGTGATTTCTGCGTGAATGCTTTTAGGAATGTGGCTTCTCCCCAGTGTGGATTCTTACATGACGCGTCAAATGTGATGTCTCAGTGAATGTTTTCCCGCAGGTGATGCAGGAATATGGCTTCTCCCCACTATGAATTCTTATATGAGCCTTTAAATGTGATGACTGAGTGAATGTTTTCCCACAAGTGATGCAGGAATATGGCTTCTCCCCACTGTGAATTCTTGTATGAGAATTCAAATTTGTTGTCTTAGTGAATGTTTTCCCACAGGTGAGGCAGGAATACGGCCTTTCCCCACTGTGAACTTTCATGTGGGCTTTTAAGCTATAACTACATTTGAAATCTTTTCCACATGGTTCACAAGAAAAGGGTTTCTTATCACAATGGACTCGTTTATGGGCCTTGAGTACTGATTCATGAGAGAATCTTTTCCCACAGGTGTTGCATACATATGGTTGATCAACTCTGTGGGTTCTTCTCATGTGGCCCAACAAGCTATTTCTATGTTGAAAGTATTTCCCACAATCTCTGCACAAAAATGGCTTCTCACCCAAAGGACCTGGTTCCTTGTTTGATGTTAAACTAAGTTTTACTCCTTTCTGATCTCGGTCATCAGATTCATGAGGATTGTGAGAGAGAAGCTGGTGGTCATTGTTTAGTTCAACTACAGCGGTGCTTTCAACTGAAATGTATTCTAGAGATGTTTCCTGTACCACACTCTCAGTTTCATCAGTACACGAGTCCAGAAATTGATCTTCACCGTGGCCTCTTTTCTCACAAGTAGGA